TAGTTCGCCTGAAGATTCTATACTATATACTATATCTGTAAACTAACTAGGAAATTATCTATTTTAACTCTCTGATGTCTTATGTTATGCATCACCACCACAATTATGCTAGCCCATAACCTTGTGCTGCTTCAATTGAAGGCCACCAGATCAACATATGCTATATTACCTGTATCATAATTCTATCAAATTATTATAATAGATTAAAATAAATTCAAATAAAATAAAATAAAATATTATCCAATTTTAATATGAAAATTATATATCGCAATAAAATTATTAGTCATTGCCAGCCGACCTCCTCTACAATTTTTAGTTTATAAATATATTTTTGTCTTAAACTTTATACTAATTTATTTCAATACAGTTCTCTCTCAATTAACATTACATGATTTAAAATTATATTTAAATTTAAACTGTATACAAATTATTGAATTATTCTAATATTTGGATTATTTGATTTTATGGTGAAACCAATAAAATTTAGAGAAACATTCAAAAATGCTAGTATAACGTTCTTATAGAGTGCATCAGCAAATACTTTTCCACCTTTTGACCCAAACCCATTATTTTTAAGATTCAAAGAAGTTAGCGTAGTGTTTTTACAAAGTGTATCTGCTAATGCCATTCCTCCTTCTGATCCAAGATTATTACAACTAAGATCCAAAAAAGTCAATGTGGTGTTTTTGCAAAGTGCGTCTGCTAATGCTTTTCCTACCATTGAACCAAAATCATTATTACTAAGATTTAAAGAAGTCAGCGTAGTGTTTTTACAAAGTGCATCTGCTAATGCCATTCCTCCTTCAAATCCAAGTCTATTCACTCTAAGATTCAAATCTTTTAACACGGTGTTTTTACAAAGTGAGCTTGCTAATGCTATTCCTCCTTCTGATTTAATAAAGTTAGCACTAAGATCCAAAGAAGTCAGCGTGGTGTTCTTGCAAAGTGCATCCGCTAATGCTTTTCCCCCATTTGGACCAAGTTGACTAAAATTAGAATACCTTACATCTTTACCAAAATTACTAAGATTCAAATGTTTTAGCGTAGTGTTTTTGCAAAGTGCATCTGCTAATGTTTTTCCGACGTCTAATTTCAAATAATTCTTCCTAATATTCAAAGAAGTCAGCGTGATGTTCTTGTGAAGTGCATTTGCTAATGCTTTTATTCCTTCTGATCCGATGTTATTATAAGTAAGTTCTAAAGAAGTTAATGTGGTGTTCTTGCAAAGTGCAAGTGCTAATATTTTTCCTTCTTCTGATCCAAGATTATTGTAATAAAGACACAAAGAAGTCAGCGTGGTATTTTTGCAAATTGCATCAGCTAATGCATTTATTTCATCGGATTCAAATCTAATATAACGAAAATTCAAAGAAATCAACGTGATATTCTTACAAAGTGCATTTGTTATCATCGTTTTATTAATAGTATTTTCAAGTGTTAAATATTTAAAATTTTTACTTGCTCGCAGAAACATTGCAATTAAAGAGCATTTGATAGCATTTACACGTTCATCTTTATGATTTGTATAATAATTTCCTTCATAATCAAGCCATTTTTTGACACCTTCGTCCAAATAAGAACCAACAGATGTAGTATAAATTTCATATTCAAATAATAACTTTGAATAATTTGGAAGAATAATTTTAAAGGGGATCAATAGAGCTTGCTCTTCAATATTTAAAGCTAAAAGATATATTCTTATAAGTCTTTCATCGCTTAAATAATTCGTAGGTTCACTCCATAATATTGGTATAATAAATCTACACCAGAAACGGTTTACAAGAAGGCACGAAAATAAGGTTTTATAATTAGTTTGAAAATTATTAAATATTTCAATAAGGCATTCGTTCGGTAACATTATCATTTTGAGAAAACTATGAATTTAGTATACAGTATTGCAGTAATGGTAACGGTAAAGCTCCTCCGTTATATATAACAATTTAAAATGTCGTGAAACGTTCAACCCAGAAAATCGGACTCTTAAAGTATGGCGCATTAATCAGCAAAAGTAATTTGCGAAATTTAAAAAACTTTAATAATTCAAGTAAATACGTACGTACATACGTATGAACGTACAATAATATAACTAAAAACTTTAATAAACAAAATACCATTTTTCAAAGATACCTAAATACCGTTTTTTTAAAAAATTTTTAAACAAATTTTTTTTCATTTAATTTGCCTAAACCGTATTTTAACACGAAAAGAATAATAGTAACGTTTCCCTAATCTAGCCATTATGAGGTCATTAAAAAAAAGAGATGTACGTTGAGAAAGTGTGAGCTGCGTCGGAAAAGTTACTGGGTCGATATATACTCTACTCACTATACCAATACAGTACTAACTAAACTATTCTAACCAGAACACTAAAACCACTTTTAACCAAACCCTAATAATGGTAAGGCTTCGTTTGGCGCGTGGAAAAACTTGGTCTGAGTAACCATGGTTAATTGAGTAGGTTGAGATAAGTGTTCTATTATTTTCTTATTAAGTATTCTACTTTCTTTAGCACCTTCACTAATAACTTCTTTTCGTATGATTTGGCAATCAGAATGTGGTACAAAGTCAGGATCACAAATCAAGTATAACGTTAATACGATCTTCGATAGTCACAGAGACCAGAAAATACGATAACGAGAGTTATTTTTTTATTAAAGATAAAATTGCTCGCTTATATACTTTATTACTTATAAAATAAAATTTGAAAATTTAACCGATTTCTTCTATATACATTATTTTTACAATTTTATCGTTAGTCATAATTTGTCAATCTATCCTATTTTCAAAATTTGGTTATTTTTACCAAATTTGTAAATTTTAAATCGATCTTGTACTACTGGGGGGTAATTTACACTTTCACAACATACATACACAATAAAATGCATGGTAATCTGGTAAATAAATTAGTAAGCACAAATCTATCGACTAAAAAGAGTTTTTTTTAACAAAGTGTTATGTAATTTAGCGCATATGCGTTATTATTTATTGTCGCAGATCATAATTTAAAATGAAATCTACATTTTCTACTCAACCTGTTAACCTTCTAAAACCCACTTATACTTGTTTATTATAACTTTACTTTAAAACTAACCCCTAACCCTAACCCCTATCCCTAAAAAATGCACCCCAAAAAAATTTATTTTTCGAGATTTTATATTATAATTTCATTTTGATCTGGATTTCATTATGATCCGCCACATTTATTGTCTGATATTTTTGGGAAGGGATTTGATTGACAAAATATTATGTTATTTGTTATATAGTTCTAGTAAACGTAGTACGAAAACATTTTTTTTTGGTTATTCAAAAATTGATGGAAAAGTTTTACAGGTTCCTTGTACGTACGCAAGCACGCACGCACACACGACAAGTAAACTAATATCCGATATCAAATATGATTGATACAGATAATTGTGACCAATTACTACACCAATAACCTGGCATACCTCAACGTTTAACAAAGCAGACATCATTCAGCGCCACAAAAGCTTTCAGTATACCGCTGTACGCTGATTAAATTGCAAGCAAATTTTATTATGCTTAAAATTGGATATTTTTTTTACCCTATACATGTATGTGTATGCACTTATTAAATGTCAATAATATTTGAAAGTTTTGTCAAAATATTCTATATTATTATTGAATTTTTTAGTTTTATAATTTTAAAAGCGTATCTTACAAAATATGAGCAGCATTGGTAGATTTCAGATTCATTTAAAAACATCAAATTTCATTAAAAATATATTATTTAACCTACACCAGGGTGAAATTCACTGTTATATGTTTTTAATTATATGATCTACGGAAGTCATAAGGCAAATTAAGTTTTTAGTAGCTTAAATTAAGAATGATTAATGAATTTTTTGGCGCTAAACGTATTTTTTGCTTAGTATACAAAATATGATTACTAGTCATTTTTGAGAAACAGTATACCTGATAGATTTCACTTCTAAATCATCCAAAGTATTATTATTTTCTTTTTATTATTTTATAGAAGACTTCTATGATCTCGGGATACTTATTTTATTAACAATCCCACTTTACGTAGGAAGGCTATTATATTTTGCATATCAACGGTACAATTAATCACATGTATAATTTTAGTCATTGTCTATTTAAAGGTGCCGCCCGCAGGTTACCTGCTAAATGCCATACCTGAAACCCGACCGTGGATTCCCTATTTAAAGTAACTGATTTTAATCTTTGTAGCACCAAATTTTTTTTATAGTATCTACCGGACCTTTGGGCTATTTTACCCGTGAAATCATCCAAAATTTTTATTAAAATTTTATTTTAGTACATATATATTGTTATGTCTTATTGTAAAAAGCTTGATACATGAAGAGTCAAATATTTTTTTCACTTTAAATGATAATGGTAAAAGGTTTTTTTTATTATTAATAATTTTGTCGATCATGATCTGCAAAACCTTGGAATGCACTAAAAGAGTTACATTATTGCTAATTTTGCTAACCTGAGATTGGACTTAACGTGAGGCTTCATGTAATAAATAATACGCATTAGGAATTTTCTAAATTTTGTCTAAACTATTTAATTCAGCTTTAACATTTTAGAAATAGTTCTACCTCATAAATAAAGTCATTTAAATTATTAAAACATCAAAATATTGAACTATATTAAACCGTATTACAGACTGCAAAATAATAAACGATTATATGAAAGACGGCTTTTTTTTCATTTGTCTTAGATACATATATTTTAAAACATCATTGAAATTTTTTTACTAAAAAAATTACTCATTTTCACGATCACATCACAATCTATAAATCGTCACGAATGTGTTTTTATTATAAAAACAATCGCTAGTTATACGAACATTTCAATGACTACAATTAATATATTGAATTCTAAACAGCATATTACATTCAGCAACATTAATATTCTTAACACTAAGACGACTATTTTAATGAAGGAACATAAAAAAGAATTTTGTTTATATGCCTATGCAATAGTACATATATGTACAAATTGTTAACCCATTAAGCCACCGTTTCTTCTCTTGTTCCTTCAGTCGCTTCTTGTTCAAGAATTTCTTCAATGTTCTCAATTTTATAGGCTATTATTTATTAAACAATTCGTTAGGAAATTAAAAATAAGAACAGAATATTATTTGAAACAGAAAGTTCCTTACCGGTTTCCTTTAAATAACGAATCAAAAAAAAAAAATTTTCAAATATATGATAAATTCATTCTTCTTAATAATCTGATTAACTGCACGACGAACGTTAGTACATACCTTGCGGGTGTGTAAATTTTCAATGACCACTCTAGGTTCTTCTTCACTTGCTTTAACTGTTTTCTGGGTATCTCCCGCGACCTTTTTTTCGTTAAATAAAAAATAACCTTAGCTTCAAACTTAAAAAATCATTTTTACATTTTATAAAAAACAGATAATTTACTTCAGAATGAGTAACAATCTTCTTGACGATTCCTTCGGTAAGTTGCATGCCACCACCAACAGGATGATATCTAACTTTCTGTCCAGGATGAAGATCCTCCTTTTTCACAGTTGTAGCGACTTTTTCACCAGCTTTTTGGATCGGCATTTTTGTAGATGAGAAAATTTAAACTTTTATTTGTAAAGACGAATAAGATATCAGGATATTATCAGGTTAATTGTCAAGAAACTTATTTTTTCGGTGAGTTTTTTGACGGTCGTAAGTTTGCGGGTATTTATTGAAATCAAAAATGAAGAGATACATAATAACGACGAAATTGTAAAATCTGAAATGATGTAAAAGAGACGACATTATTTCATTAATTAGTGGGTTAACTAAGCAATATATTATTAATCATGACGATATGAAATGTAATTGATTACGCATCGATGTCCGCATCCAAAATTAAACATCCAAAATTAAAAAATTACTACTTCTTATCATATGCCATTATTGTTTTTTTTCCTGGAAAATATAACGATTACATAACGATCATTATAAGCACATGATTTTTAATTCGATCCATCGCTATCGCTATTGTAATAGAGTATGTAATAATGATGCAAAAAAATTTTTTTTCAAAGGCTCAAATAACAGACAAAAAATTATTGATGGCTGTGCAAGCATTGTTATAAAATATTTTAAAAAATAATTTCATCATTCACTAGAAAATGATATAATCGATAATTACGCTTGTCATAATATTCTTGTCTATGCAATTTTATTACGTAATTTTATAGTAACGGTAATAAATTAAACAATGGATTATTAATCATAATAATGCAAGAAAATTTTCACCGTCATTACAGTCTGGGAAATAAGTGATTGTGTCGATTATTTTTGTTGTATAACTAAAAATAGTGTTATTTAGTACGATCTATAAAAATAATATAATGAAGTACTGTACAGTTAACGTTAATATAAACAGAAAATTAATATATAGAAATATAAACAGGAGTTTTAAGACTTTAAATTACTAATCCGATTTAATCCGATTTAATACGATTTTAATCGAGATCTAATCGAACATTGAGATTATTTGGTTACACTAATGCGATCTTGACTCTATTTACATAATTCATTATTTTAGACATTCTTGTACAATAAATTATTTTACTGAGTTATTGATTGTGCATTTGTCCAAGTCTTTTTTTCGAATTAAAAAAAAGTTTTAAAGTTAATGACGCTTGCTTAGTTTCTCCATGATGTCAATAAAACAAATCTATCATTCAGAATGTGTGATAAGGTTGCTAATTTAACATACTGGACTTTCAAAACCACGATTCCTGGATGCGTCAATCACCAGTTAAAAATAGATTAGCCTTGCTAACAGTAGCATCATTTTATATGGCGTATAAGCTTGATGTTTCAGATACTAATTTAATCAGATTAATCAAAATTATGTAAAGATACTATAATAATAAATATTACCGTTATGCATAATATAGGTAAACAAAAATATAAAAAAAAAATTTTTTTAGATGATCTTGTATATTTGATATGGACCCTAGTAACACTCCAAAGTTCCCGGTCTTGATAAATATGACCGCAGTAGTGCAAGAACTCCAAAGTTGCCGATAAGATTTTATGATGATCGGTAATCCTTATCTAATAGTTTTAACAACTCCATTCGATATTGATGTTATAAATGAATCCAAAATTCCCATAGACTCAGAATCACAAATTTTTTAGCTTCATATACTAGTAACCTTAATAACTTCCAAATATTTATTTATTATCTATTATATTAAATTCGTTGGATTTACTACCCATATAAATAATGGTTTAAATTGTGCAACATATCTGGCAAACCGTTATTACAGTATTAACTCTTTCAACTTCTGTATATCGGATATAAAATACAGTATATTGCTGATGCTTGTCTTTAGGCTACATAAATAGCGGTGTATTTACAACTTTGAAATCTAAGAACCAATCATCCGTTATACTGTATGTAAACAAGGGGCTATTTCATTTTCATAACGATCCTTTTATTGAAATTCAATTCCCAGCAAAATCACTACCATTATCACTTTACTAATATACGTTATTTATTTATTATTTCATATTTAACAGAGTATTCAAATTTTTAA